TTGTTGTTGTAGGTCGCATCCCTGTTAGTTTGTCGTTTGTTTTGTTTTATGAGTTGCCTGAGACCTCCGTGTCAGCAGCCCAACCTCCTCCCAGTGCACAGAACCACTTGGCAGCACTTTTCCTGGCACTGCCCTGCGGCTCCTCCTCGTGCAGGACGGCCCCCAGGAGCCCCTCTGCAAGGCTGCAGGGCCCAGGAGGAGAGGGAGCTGCTGCTCTGGCTGGGGATGCCCAGCTGCACTCTCACTTGAAGCAAACAAAGGGCATTAGATGCCAGTTTCATTGAGTTAGTGACGTATGTAGGATATTCTGAATTATTTATCTGTATATAAACTGAAGTGAACCTCAGTGGCGTCCGATCCGGTGTAGATTTCTGCTGATACCACGCAGTGATGTTTTCTAGCCACGTTCCCTTTTTAGTCTTATTTTTAAATTTGTAATATTTTTAAACTGCTTTAGATATTAGTGCTCATCGTGTTGGTAATGTGTGATGCTGGGCAGGGCCGGGCTGCACACAGCCTGCAGCCGTGTGGAGGAGGTGTGAGCAGCTGCCCTGCAGCAGTGCTGTGGGATGGGTGGCTTCTCCCAGCCCTCTGTGTCGGAGCCTATAAATGCACCCGGGGGTGTCCACAGGTGGGAGCCTGGCAGAAAATACATTCCTGTCCCATTCTTAAAGTCTTGTGGTGTAGAGGGACCCACGCGTGCTTCTTCAGGCTGTGTCTCAGAGCACTGGGCTCCAGGAGAGCTGCTCTGTTCTCACATACTTGGTGCCCACGGTCTCTCCGGAGCCCTTCGGTGTCACTGACATTTCGGGCTCCTTTAGGACGTGTCGGTGCTGTGGTTCTCCCCACTCACTGCAGCTGGACGTGATGTTGAACAGGAGGTTCAGGACTGGTGGCACTGGGCAGCCCCTGCCTCGTGTTCTTAATTCCAGATGCTGTCTCTGTGCGTTAATCCTAGAATCTGAGCGCTGGTACGTAACCCCAGTGCCACTGTGTGCAGTGTAAGGTTGGTGTAAGCTTAACTTGCTTCCTCGTTTGGTGCTGCTTCTCTGTATTGTAGTGGAAATCATCTAGTAGTGTTCTGCTACACCAACAGCTGCTTATAATGCCCTGGAAGAAGTGTAACCTTAGCTGACACAGCAGCAGGAGTTGTCAGTGCCCAAGTCCTGCAGGACCTGTTCTGCTCCATGCGCTGTGCTCAGAGCTTCAGTGCTGGGACCGAAATGCTCCTTGCATTCCAGAAGGATGTGTTCTGTGCCAGAGGGAACTGCTGGGGAAGCTGTCTGTCTTTTATGTTTGCACAAGCCAAATGCCACGCATCTGGAAGACAAACTTGTGTTTGAAAATAAGATGCCAACGTTAACATGAGCAGTGGATTTCCTTGTTTCAAGGATAGACGCTGGCGACTTCTGGTGGTTTTATGTGTATGTACATGTGTAGAGGAAGCTCTTCTATAACATGGCCATTCTTCTTTGAGTGCTGTTGTCTTCTCTGCTCTCTTTCCCCCATCACCAGCAATGTGGGTGTGTTCTCGTGGTCTGTAGCAGTTGCTTACGGTGCTGTACAGCGATGGCTTCCAAACGGGGTGACCTCTGAGCTCTGCCAACGTCCCTCAGCCTGCATGACAGGAGCTGGGCTTCACCGTTCTGGCTTTGCTGTAGGGAAGGAGCTGAAACCCAGGGGCGACACTGGAAGAGCTTTGGCTCGTGCTGCTGGTGTGTGGGGTGTTTGAAAAGCGGTTGAGAGATCCACCTCTGGAGGTCACTGCACCGGGTTCTTTCCTCTTCCAGTTGTCAGCGCGTCGTACTCACAGAGCACGAGTCGGCTCACAAAGCTGTGCTGTAGGTTTTGGATTGCAGCATCGTGTGTGTATGTATGTATATATGCACATATGTACATGTTTATACACCTGGTGTGCACCCAGGCCTTGCTGCTGTTTTTCTGTGATGGTAAAACACTGAATTTGGCCCCAAGTCCTTCTCACAGACAGACAGGTTCTGTGCGTCCGGAGCTGTGCTTCCACCTTTCAGCTGCAGGGAAAACCAGATGGGATCTGTGACTGATGGGGGGAAGCGATGGAAGGCTCCTGTTGGATAAATAAACAGGTGGTACAAATGGGAGAGCTGCCTGCTTGGAGAGGGAAAAGCAGCCTTCCAGCCTGGCAGCCTTCCCTCTTTGTTGGGGTGCATGGAGACGTGAGCGTTGGCGCAGTGTGGTCTGTGGGCTCAGTCTGTAGTGCTCACAGGTGGGATTTGAAGGACTTGGAGCTGTTGCACAGCATAAAACTGAAGCTAGGTGGTGATCTGTGCAGAGGCACAGCTGGGTGCAGGGGGGGGGGATGTGTGGGGGCTGCTTGTGGGGTGGGGGGGAATCAGTGGCCGAAAGCGAAGGAAAAAAGACTGTAAAAAAAATACAAAATAAAAAAAAAAACCTACAAAAAACCCCCCCACAAAGTATAAATGCATCTGAGAAGCAATTATAATAAAGACATATATATATTTTGTTATGTTACTAAAGGACCATACTTTGAATTGTATGTAAGTAGATGTGGCTGTCGGAACCTCGTGGATTGTAACACTGGATACTACTGAGCTCCTGTACATACCTGCAGTTACAGCAGAAGGAATTATTTTATGTTTTAGCATGGTAATTTGTGTATCGTATGTCCAGATAGAAACTAAAATAAAGATTGCTAAGTTATCTGAAACCACTGTTGTAAAATAAATGTTTTCAATGCAGAATTACGTGTGGGCTTTGTTCTTTTCTGTATCTGGGATCCTGAATTGATGACGGCATGGGAGGAGGGCTGCTCTGTTCTGGATGTTCAGTTGCCTATGTGAAGTTTGCTGGGATATTTCTGTGCTCCTGAGATGGGAGTTCAGAGCTGTGTGGGGCACTGTGTGCACCCTGTGCGTGTGCTCACCCTGCTACCAGCGCTGCGTGCTGCAGCAAGGGGCTGTTGGTGCATTCCGGGTGAGCGCTTCCTGCAAACACCTTGTTTGCAACCGTAGCTGGGTTTGGTTTGGTTTGGTTTGGGGTTTTTTTAATGTGTTTGCTGTTCTTTTTTTAACCGACAGCCCGATTCTGGAGGATCGCTTCTTTATTTCCTGTTTCAAAGTGGGTGACCTCAGCTCTGCCCCTGGACGATGTGCTGAATGGGGGCAGGATCCCACAGCGCGTCCTTGCCATCCTGCCCTCCAGCCCTGTGGAAGTGAACCCACCCAGCCTCCAAAAGGCAGCTGGGGGTGAGTGCTGGGGTTGTTTGGGGGCTGAGGGGAGCAGAAGCTCAGCAGCGTGGGGTCTGGGAGCGCGTTTAAAATTGTTTTCTATCTGGGAGCCCTGGTTCTTTTGGGTTGACCGTTTCCCCTTTGTGATTTGGCCTCTTTGCTCATGGCTTTGGGGCGGCTGTCGCAGCCGTGCATTATTGCAGCTGTGTGTGATGCTCAGAGCTCTGTTCAGCACAAACCTCGGTGCTGAGCAGCAGCCCTCCTGCAGGACGGGCTCCCACCACCCCTGGGCTGTGCAGGGCTGCCTGCCGTGGCCTGCTGCTCCCATGGACCCCGTGGGCTGGGAAACACCATGCAGTGTGGAGCAGTGGGCACAGAGCAGTCACAGCTGCATGCAGCCCTGCTTTGGCTGCTTTGCGGTAAGGATGGGTTGAGCTGTTAGCTGTGTGTTCCTCACAGTTCATCACCTGAGCTTTTCGTTTCTGCCCTCATCCCCAAGCACCCCTCCCTCGTTGTCTCCCAGAGATCCCACCTGTTCCCATGCAAAAACCCCACCTTGGTGCAGGGTTCAGGTGCTCAGCCCCATTCTGATGCGCCCCAAACCCCGGCTCATCCCCCCTCTCCACGTCTGTGACCCCAAGAGGCAGAAACTGCTTTGAGATCAGTGAGGGCGCAATGCTGGGGGCTCAGTGGCGCCCGCAGCCCTTTCAGCAGCTGGAACTGGGTCCGTGTGCCCACATGTTTCAGATCCCCCTGTCCCATGGATGCCTCCTGCAGTCCCCCCGAGCCCCCCATGTCCTTTTCCCCATCCCCAGCACCACCCAGTGGGGACACTTCCATTTTTGGGGTGAAATTTGCAAGCACTGCTGCTGGACCCACGCACAGGGGTTGTGCAGTGGCACCCCCCCCCCCCCCCACACACACACACCCCTCACGTTCCTGCAGCACGAATGGGTGAGTGGTGCCCTAGGGAGCGAGATTGGAGCACATGTGGGCATCCAAAATTTGGGTCTGAGAGAGCACTTGGCACCATGGGGCTGGGGTGATCTCGGTCCCCAGCTTAGGGTGAGATGCTTCCATCCCGTCCCGTTCCCCACTCCTGCCCTGGGAATCGCCTTTGCCCCCCGCGCACGCCCGGGTGTTTTGGGACCCAGGGAAAGCCTTCCCCCCCCCCCCCCCCCCCCCCGCACGGAAAGGCGACGCCGCCACAGCGCGGGGCAGCAGCGCAGCGGGGCAGGTGCGAGGGAGACTTTAATGCGCAGCAGCAGCAGCGGGAGCACCGCGCGGGGGGGGGGTTTCCGAGGGAGGTGGGGTGGGGGTGGGGGGCGTCCCCGCTTCGCTGCTCCGGGCTTCGTCCCCTCCGTCCGTCGGGACCCCTCCCGTCACTTCCCTATACTCTGCAGCAGCAGCTTATTGCTGAGCGCCTTCTGCGCCAGTCTCTCCTCCCGGGACATCTCGAGAAACTCGCGCAAAAGGTGGAAGGTGAGGTCGAGAGAGTTGGGTTTCCCTTCTCGTCTCTTCCCTGCCTGCAGCGCACGCGGGGTTCGGGGGGGGTCCGGGCCGGGCGCTGCCCCCCGCGGTCGGCACAGTCCGTGGGGGGGGCGCGGGGCGGCCGGCTCCCAGCGGGGCTGCAGCGGGGAGCAGCTCTCCGAAGGCAGGAAGAGCAGCACGAGGACGGAGGCAGCCGAAATCATCCTGAGCCTCATCGCAGCCGCTCCGGGTCCGGGGCTGGGGGACCGGATACCTGTAAAAGAGGTCCCCGCAGCCCCCAAACCCCCCGCGTCCCCCCCAACGCTGCGGTCAGGGGGCACCCGACGGGATGAGCTCCGCCGGGGGGACCCCCCGCCCCCAAGAGTGAGAGCCCCCCACCTGCAGGCGGGATCCTTCCCCAGGAACTGGAACCGAACCCCCGCTAACGCGACCCGTCCTCCGGGAACGGGACAGCCGTGACCACCGGACGGGACCCCCCCCCCCCCCCCAGCACATGCGGGACCCCACCACCCAGACACGGGACCCTCACGTTTCAGAGGTAGGTTCATGCTTCACGTTCACGGCACTCCCGTCACAGGACGCCCCTCCCCGCCCTCCGCCCCCCAACCCCAGCGGGAACCGGACCCCCACATCCCCCAGGGGGACTCAGGACCCCTTCCCAGGAGCGGGGCTGGGTGGGAGGTTGGCGGGATGCTCACCGCTGCCGCTGCTCCGCCTGCAGCTCCCGCTGCCCGCGCCGCCCGCCCGCTCCGCGCTATATAGGGGCGGCGGCACCCCCCCCCCCCCCCCACCCAACACCCACCCCGCCACGTGACCGCGCTATAGCGGGGCGGCGGCCCCTCACGTGACACCGGGCGGGGAGCTGTCCGTGGTGCTGAACGACCGCGGGTGTACAGGGGGCACCTGGGGGCGTGTGGGGAGGGGGGGGGGGGGATGGTGGAGGCACATAGGAGTGCCCGGATGGGAACGTTGGGGGTAGGTGAGGGTGGAGGGGTGAGTGCCTGGATGGGGGGACGTGGGGTGGTGGTGGGGAGATGCCCATGGGAACGCGTGGGGGTGTTGGTGGGTGCCTGTGGACACGGGTGCACAGGGGTTGGTGGTGAGATGCAAACGGAGGCGTGCGGGGTGGGAGGTGTTGGAGAGAATTTGTTCGGGATGTATGGAGGTGTGAAGGGTGAGCACTTTTTGTGGGGTCCATAGGACTGGGAGAGGGGAAGAAGGCTGAGTGCCCGTGGGGGGTACGTGGGGTTGGAGAAGAGATCAATGGGTGCCAGGTGTAAGCACTGCAGCTGAGCCCCCTCTCACACTGTGCTCCTGGACACAGACCCATACCAGGCCTCCGACCCCCCCCCCAAAACAGTCCATGGGCTGCATCTGCTCTGCATTTCATGGGCGTTTCCATGCACAAAGTGAAGGCAGCGAACTCCTTGGGGTGAGTCACTGCGTGAGAGCAGCTTACAACTTTACTTCTGAAGCTTAAATACACTTCTGGAGTGCAATATTCCTTCTCTAATAGAGCACAAAAGATGTTCTCCTCCTGGCCTTGTCGCTACACACAGATACACACCTCTGGCTGCAGGTTGGAGTCATTTGTTTGCCTTTTCCTCCCTCCCTGCTGGAGCTTCCATCAACAGGCACTTGGAGCTCAGCAATCACTTCATCTTGCAGAAGTGCTGCCTCTAAAATTAAAATTCCTGTATGAGGTATCAATGTTTCAAGAGAAGGAAAGAAAAACATCAAGTAGAACTTGAGCGCGCAGTGAGAACCCCTTCAGTCACGCTCTGTGCAGAGCTACCCAAAAATGAGGGCTCGGCTGCTTTCGGCAGGTCACCCAAAAGGCCAAAGGATTCTTTGAGGTTGCAATGAAGGGGCTCCCAATGACCCCCAGAAGGCTGGAGGGAAGGGGAGCATCTGCTTCCCCCTCACTTTGTGCATGGTGCGTTCTTTAAATATCTTTATTGAATCATTGAGAACGGCTGCGGTGTTCAGTTCTCCACCCAGGCTTGCACCAAGGCTGGGCTGGGAGCAGACAGAGCTGTTTCGCGCCTCAAAGCACCACCTCAGGGCTGCTGCCGAGCATCTCCCTGATCTGATGGCCACTGAGCACCCCCAGGAGCCCCTAGGAATGGGGCAGTGGTGTTTTGGGGCTGCTCTGCCCCCCAGCCGATGGGGAGCGGCTCAGGCACAGAGTGCTGCACCGTCACAGCGCGGTGCTCAGCTCGGTTCATCCATCGCCACAGCCCACGGCCAGCACTGGGGCTGGTGATGCTTTGGACCCTTTTTCTTTCAGTCCCCACGCTTTAGGATTCGTTGCTTAATTGTTGGAAAGATGACGAAACTGATAATGGCATCTTGTTTGTTTTATTTAGGAAGCTCAACTCAGAAGATATTAAAAAAAAAAAACAAATAAAAATCCGTCTTCCATCATAAATTACTGACACGTTCAGTGCTGAAGGGCCCCGTGTGCCGCCTGGGGACTCATTATTGTCACTCACAGGGATGTCTCTGTCTCTTCCTCCGCTCAGGAGCGATGCTTCAGGGATGCCAGGCTCACCCCCAGCTCCGCTCGTTGCCTCGTGCCGCCGTGCAGCCGTGGCCTCGCAGCGGGGAAGAGGCAGAGCAGCTCCTAATGAGGCTCTGGGAGCACTCTGAGCCTCTTGGCTCGTGAGCAGAGAGCCGCAGGTGGGAGCCCCAGCCCTGTGGACCGTGGCAGCATAGGCACTAAAACGCAGCCAAGCTTCCAGAAGCTTCTCTCAAAGAATGCTGCTGCTTATCTCTGTGTGTTCCTGGTACGTGCTCGGTTCTTTCCCCATCCCATCCCCACCCCACAAACGGCCGTGCCAGCGCTCATGCATTTTCCAGCAGCAACGTTCCCTGCATCCCTGGGGCTGCGGGGACGGCGCTGCCCATCCCGCTCTGGAGAAGGCATCTCATGGGCTGACGAACCTGAGATTGACCCTCATGTTTCACCATTCTCAGGTTAGACAGTCCTCGAGGTGCCCCTCGCTCGGGCAGCCACCGCCCCGTGCCCCGCATCCTGTGTCTCTCACCCACCCAGATCCCCCATCTGCAGGGACTGTGCAAGAGAAAGCAGAGACGCGGCCCCTCAGCTCTGCTGTGCCTCAGCTTCTCTGCATCCGTGCCTGACCATGAGGTTCTTGAAGGGTCGGCCCCTTCCCAAATGCACACCATGCTTCCTCGTGCAAGCAGTGGTGGTGAAAACCTTTGCACAGCCAGAATGCGGGGTTAACAGCCAGGCTGCTGCATGCTGCATGGACCCAACATCTCCCCAGTAGGCACAGAGCAGCTTGGACCCACAGATACCCATCTGGCCGTGAGCTGAGATGTTGGGACAGAGATGGAGCAGCAGATTCCCTTCCTTTGCTCCCGTTTGCAGATGGCGGCACCCTGGGAGCATCAGAGCGCTTCTGCAAGGCTCGCCCAAAATCTCTCACCCAAAATCTGCAGAGATGCCCTGCAAGATTTGCACCAGGTAACGGGTGGAGTTCAGTTTCCTAATGCTATGGGGTGCTTAAAATCGCTTCTCTGGGGAGGCGGCTCTCATGGCAGAGTGATTTGCCTTATGCGTGGAGGGAGGAATATCAAAACTTTGACAATTAACTGCATAATCAAAGGGAAGGCTTTTTCAAGTTGAGCACCGTCAATCTTAATGCAAAGCCCGTTCAGGCCCAGGAAGCTGTCAGAAAAAGCACCAAGGAATAAGCGATTGGTTTCAATCCCTTCTGGATTTCTTGCTCCATTTGGGTCCTATCTGCTGTGCTCTGGCATGGACAGAGCCAGGTGCGAGCTAGGCTGTTCCAGAGGAGCAATGGGGTCAATAGAAGAGAAACCTTTCAGGCAGGAATGAAGGGGACTGCAAAGCCACAGCTTTATCCTCTCAGTTTACTCTATTTCAAATCCACGATCAAGCTTCTGGGACTTTGAGGCTTTGCAGGGAAGGAGAAAGCAAACGGAATCTGTAGCAGCAAGGCTGGGATGGGGGGAAGGTTGGGCAGAGCAAAGAAGGAGCAGCAGAGCCCTTCCAGCCTGCCCTTGTGCAAGAAGGAGCCCAGCAGAAAGAGGCAGGGAGAGCTTCTAAGAGGAGGGGGAGATCAGCTGTGCAGAGGGGAGTGCTGCCTTACCTCTCACCTGCAGCTCCAGCTCCATCCCTCCGCCCGCTGCGCCCGCGCCGCTTTTATGGCCCTCCCTGTCCTCGTGGCTCGGAGGAGTCAAGCCGGGCTACAGCGAATTGCCACACTTTCTGCTGGCTTCCTGTTTGTGCATCGCGAGCGGCTGTGGTAAAATTTCCATTACACGCTGGACAGACGCAGGGCGGCAAAGAGAAGTGAAAAAAAATACAAAAAAAAAACCCAAAAAAAAACCACCCACCCCAATGCAGTGCGACACTGCTTGAGTCACCCGAAAGCGGCTGCGCTGGGGAGCTGGGGGGATGGAGGGATGCTCTGGGTGCCTCTTCCCCCAGCCCTGGGGGCACAGTAAGTGAAAGACCCTTATTTCCAACCCCGCCACCAAAAGCTGTGTTTCCTAATTGCTGCCCCTCTGAATGGAGGCAGTGGTTGGCCCCGTCAGCCTCATCCATCCACCTCGTGTCAGATCCTCCAGCGAGGCCAGCAGCAGAGTGCAGCGCGGCTCCTGCTCCTCTTAGCCTTCAGCTGTCAGATCTGGAAGGTATCCGATCTACTGCTGTTCCTGGTTTCCTCTTAGCAGGCCAAGAAGAGCCATGTTGGCCATAGAACATACAGTCTGCGGATGGAAAACAAAAGGAAGAGTTGAAAACCTGCTGTGACAATGCTGGAATGTCCCCAGATGTGAAGCACTGCGCTCCTCCTGCGAGGCCACAGCTCTGCGTCCGCACTGGGGACACGTGGCCTAATCCTGCTGCCTCTGCAATGGGCAGCGACCATCCTGCTGCACCCAGCTCTGCTCCAGGCAGCGTTCCTCCCTTGCTCTCCCTGCTCCTTCCCCACGTGCCCTGACCCCCAGGTTTTGCTTTTCAGGGGCTTTGGGTTTTTTTCTCCTTTGTGTCAGAGCTGCCCAGGAACCACACGGTTGCTGTAGGGACCTGCTGGTGCTGCTCAGCCCTCCTTTCCTGTACTGTTTGCACAAGAAAGGAACGGACAGAGTGGAGCATCTGCATGGTTTTGATTTGGTTTGAGTTTGTTTTCTTTCTGTTGGTGGGAAGCAGAGGACAAACACTGCAGATCCAACATTTTCTCCTCGTTCTGATGCCCGACATTTTGGCTGCGGTGCCATGTGCCCTGCAGGTCCAAGGCTCCTGGTTGCAGCCCAGTGGGGGAACCCCGCTCTGAACTGGGAAGCTGTGGCACTGCTGAAGGCGTACAAAACAGGGAGAACCTCCCCAGGGTGCAGCTCTGCGAGATCCCAAATGCTCAGGGCTTGTACTGTGGATGCTGTCCACCACGCTTTCTCTTCTTGCAATTATTCAGTTTTGGGGATGGTGGGGGGAAAATTTGCATTTCTTTGTCTGTTTTTTGCAATATATATATGCATATATATATGTATGTATATGTATTTTAAGTGTCTTTGCTTGTTATAAATGTCTCTGCGGTGAGCAGACAGGACCGAGGGCTGTGAGCTCAATGCAAGGTGTCACTGGAGAAGTTTCCAGGTAAACACATGTGTGCACAGGGTCTCAGATGCGTTGTCTGATCGCCATGCTCACATGCACCCCATTTTCCACTGCCATTTTGATGCCGAAAAACCACTTGAGCAGAGGAATGCTTTCAGTGCAAGCCCTGCTGCAGGCCGTGTGCTGCCAATGTCCTTGTTTGCAATACACAAAAACTGAGGCTTTGGTTTTTCGGTTCTTTTTTGGCAATTGGACAGAACTGTTCCTGACTGGAGCTCTGCTGTGCTGCTGGATCTTGGGGTCAGATGGGAACCCCCACGATGTGTTGTTCAGTTTTGGAATGAGTGGTGGAGAAATGCCCGAATCGAAGCCCTCTTTTCTGCACGGATGGGAAATCAATGGGCAGAGAGCTGGAAAGGGAAATGAGTGGTTTGCTCTGACCCGAGAGAGCCCCACCAACGGGCAGTGCTGGAGGGGCCTCAGCCCGGGGCTGGAAGCAGCAAAACGTTTCATCTCTCAGAAAAACCCAGGGCCATCTGCTGCAGAAAGAGAAAACACGACCCAAACGCTTCTGCCTCGAAATGAGTGCGTTCGCTCTTTGATGGTCAAGCAGATATTGTTCTCAGGTTGTTTTTTTCTTTTTCTTCTTTTTCTTTTCTTTTTCCCCACTCTGTTCTATTTGCAGTGCTGGGAGGATGGTGCCGAAGAGGCTCTGCTGTCGGTCAGGGTTTGTGGTTTGGGCTGCTCCTGAGGCAGGGCAGGAAGCCCCTGGGCTGTGGGGGGGCTGGAGGTGGGGGGCGCTGCTGGGGGCTGCAAGAGGTGGCAATGCACCAATATTGTATGACAGCAACGCAGTTCGTTGGCCGTTTCGAACGGCACATAGCAGAGCTGAGAGCATGGAGTTGTCTGGGTGTTGAACTGAGAGAAATGGAGATGATTTTCCTCATTATTTGGTACCGCTGGGCATCCGATGGAGGCCATTGGGCTCTGAAGGTGCTGTTCTGCAGAGCATCCCCTGTGCTGCAGGGCTGTGGCCACGCTGGTTAACACTAAGGCTGCCTCTTGCCCATCAGAGCTCGAGGAGCACCTGCAAAAATATCTTGTCCAAAAAACAGTGTTGCTTCGTTCTTGTTTTCATCGCCTGGCCCCACGAGCGGCCATCATGGCTGCCACATCGGGCGGCCTGAAAGGCAGAGGTGGGAAGGAGCCGCCCACCACCCACACGGTGTTTCCGAGGTGGTGTGTTTGCCACCAGCAGTTGTCACACGCAGAAGAAGGTTGAGCTTGAAGTGATGGCAATGGCGGAGTGGGGAGAGGGAGATGGCGGCCTCCCAAGATGGCGGCTCCCAAGATGGCGGCTCCCAAGATGGCGGCTCCCAAGGTAGCACCACATCCTGCAGCTGGCTGGCGGCAGGGGTGATGGCAGCAGGGATGGGCCAAGGCCACCCGCTGTGGCACGTGCCGCTAAATCTAACAGTTCTGCTGCCAGTGGGGCGGGGTGAGGAAGAAAGGCGCCATGTTCCATAGGTAGAATTCAGCACTGTGGTGGCCGCATGTGAGGATTTGGTGTGCGGTGTGCTGAGGGAAAACAGGGGTCTGGTGGGGGAAAGGTACAGGTCTGCTGAGGGAAAATGCGGTTCTGCTGAGCACAAATGCAGACGTGCAAAGGGAAATGGTCGTGGTGCAGTTAAAGCTGGAGCTGCCCAGGGTGCAGCTCTGGTTGTTGCGGTTGCCCTGGGCCGTGCCTGTGGGGCAGCTATGAGTGTTTGGCCCTGAACATGGCAGCCATGGGGCTGCGCTGCGCCCTGCTGTGCTGCCATGGTGCCAGGGCTATGCGTGCTGGGGCCATGGGGGCTGGCACTGTCGGTGCTGGGGCTTTGGGTGCTGCAGCTATGGGGCTGGGGCTATGGGTGCCAGGGCTGTGGGTGCCAGGGCTGTGGGTGCCAGGGCTATGGGTGCTGGCGCTATGGGGGCCGGGGCTATGGGTGCTGGCTCTATGGGGGCCGGGGCTATGGGTGCTGGCTCTATGGGTGCTGGCGCTATGGGGGCTGGGGCTATGGGTGCTGGCACTTTGGGTGCTGGCACTATGGGGGCTGGGGCTATGGGGGCTGGGGCTATGGGGGCTGGGGCTATGGGGGCTGGGGCTATGGGTGCTGGCACTTTGGGTGCTGGCACTATGGGGGCTGGGGCTATGGGGGCTGGGGCTATGGGTGCTGGCGCTATGGGGGCTGGGGCTATGGGGGCTGGGGCTATGGGTGCCAGGGCTGTGGGTGCTGGCGCTATGGGTGCTGGGGCTATGGGTGCTGGCGCTATGGGTGCTGGGGCTATGGGTGCTGGGGCTATGGGTGCTGGCGCTATGGGGGCTGGTGCTATGGGGGCTGGGGCTATGGGTGCTGGCACTTTGGGTGCTGGCACTATGGGGGCTGGGGCTATGGGGGCTGGGGCTATGGGTGCTGGCACTATGGGGGCTGGGGCTATGGGTGCTGGAGCTATGGGTGCTGGCACTATGGGGGCTGGGGCTATGGGTGCTGGCGCTATGGGTGCTGCGGCTATGGGTGCGTAGGTGGCACTCAGCAGCCTGGATGTGCTGCAAAACGAGATGCGGTGCCTCCCCCTTCTCCCCGAGGTTGTTCTCCACTCCTGTGATGGAGGGTCCTACAGCTGTCATGGCACCCATCAGGCTTGCAGGGGATCGCGGATGACGGGCGCCCTTTGCTGCTGTGGCAGTTCACAGCCCTGCTGCACCCACACTTCTCGCAGCCCCACGGCCGTCCCCATCATGCTGCCTGCTGGGGGCTGTTCTGAGGGAGCGGGAACTGCCGCGTCCATGAGGCCTCCAGGGAACGGGGTGCATGGGTTGGAGTGAAGGATGCTGAGTGGGGAAGGAGTGCGTTGCTCCCCAGCGGGCCCTTCACCCTTTGGGTGGACCCTGAGAGCAGATCGGGCTCAGGAGGTCTGCAGGAGCCGTACACATGCAGGCTGGTGGGCATTCCTCCATGGGGCTGAGCTGGGCTGCACGGAGGCAGCACTCTGGGAGCAGGCGATGCCCGGTGATGCTCAGCTCCCGGCCGCACGCTGCCCCAGCCCGAAGCCCCACGTCTGCCTCTCCTGTGTTTGTGCTTATGAGCTCTCCTTCCACCTACGCGAGGAGTTATTTTTAGAGGCACTAATCAAGCGCCGGCGCTGGCTGGGAGCGTGGCTTTCAAGCTGAGGGCGCCGTGCTTTCACCGGGCGCTTGCAGGAACTCGGGCAGCTGCTTTCTTTTAAACGCAGTGCAGGTTTACACAAGAGCAATGGCAGTTATTTCGGGCTCCTCACTGCCGTGCGCGCACCAAGCTGTCACCCGGAGGCTCCGTTTTGGCAGCGGCCGAGCACAGCGTCTCCTCTTCTTCTCCCATCCAGGGCTGCCCAGTGCAGGGTGGGCTCGTCTCGGCCCGCTTACTGCCAGCACAAGGATGTGGCATCGGTACTTTGCATCGTGCAGGAAAGGGAAAATGCTCAGTGCTCAGCACAGCCTCCTCTGACTGCTTTCTCCCTCCCACTGAGGTTTCTCTGGCCGCTGGCAGCTTCCTGCAGGCCTGCACCTCCAACAGCTCTGATGCAGCAAGAGCAGGCTGTGCTGAGATGTGCTTCAGTCCGGCTGCAGAACTGGAAGAAGAGCTGGTGCTTTTTGACCTCGAGTGCAGCAGGATCCAAGCTGAACTTCAGCCTCCTTGCAGGAAGGAGGGATACAGCAGGATCTGGAGTGAAGTACTGCATCCCTAGCGTGAGGCTGCAGGAGGAGGGAGCTGGGGAAGAGTGGTGGGTTTTGCTCCTGATGAGGTTCAGCAGGGAGACCAGGGTCGGTGGGGGGGGGTGGGGAGGGGTTACCCTGCCTTGCAGGAAGGTGACAACACCTCTCTGCCCTCAGGAGCTCCCAAGGGGCTCAGAGCGAGCAGGGCAATCCCAATGGGTTATGACTCAGGTGGGATATGAGGAACAATTTGTTCTCCAAAAAAGCAGTGATGCAGTGGCACAGCTGCACAGGGGGTGGTGGGGTCACTGAGCCTGGAGGCGTCCCAGAGCTGCGGAGATTGGCACTGAGGGTCGTGGGCAGTGCGCAGTGAGTGAGCTGGGGTTGGACTTGGGGATGGCAGAGGTCTTTTCCAACCATAACGACCCTGTGATTCCTTTGGGGCAGCACAAGGCCATGACAAGCAGTGGCTCCGTTCAAGAAAACCAGAGAAAAAAATTTATTACTTTTCTTTATAAAATATCTCCAATAAGTTATATAGGCAAATAGTTAAATTAAAATAAATTAACTCCACTCTATGCTGGGACACGCGGCTGTCCACAAAGTCACACTAAGATCTGTGTTTGAAAAAATATGCCCTAGATCTCTGATGAAAGATTTGAAAAAAATATATGCTTGGTGAGGAGAAAGGAGAAATCTCTGCAATGGACAGGAGGGGTTAAGGTGCGGTGCGAAGCTGCCTGGCGCTGGTGGCATCTCCCACCCAGCTAAGTGCTGAGAGCATCCTCATCGTCGCTCCAGTCAGGAGGAGCATCCGTCCCAAAGTACCGATCACCGAAGTTCCCTAGGAGGAGAAGGGAGAGAGAAAGCTCTGGAGAGCTTGGACTGGCCCAGCAGGCGAGGAAACAAAACCAGGTTTATCTGACAGCTTGCACGGTGCTCGCGTTTGTGTAGCGGCAGAACTGGAGCAGCCCGGAGGCTGTTTTAGCACACTGGGGACTGTTTTAGCATTGCCGTGGCAGGGGTGGTTCCTGGCACAGCAGAGGTGAGGACGGAAGGACGCAGTGAGCTTGTTGAGGACAAGCTTCCTTCAGGCAGCAGCTCAGGGAATGAGGCACAGAGCTGCCCCAGCCCAGCTTCTCTACCGGGAGAGGCAAAGGGTCCCTCAGTAAAACAAGGGCAGACTAAAACAAGGCTGAGCTGCTGACAACCAGGGCTTCACCTCATCTGCTGAGCGGGCCAGAAACACCAAACGTTCCTCCTCAAGTACTCACCAATGCCAGGGATGATCCGGAAGAGG